CAGCTAATCATCGAAATGCTAGGCAACCTGAATGTTTTATTACAAACCAGTATTCCCTGCAGAAAAGGCTTATTTTGATTAATCTTTAGCACTTACAGCTCCTTTCTGTCAATCAAAGTCTCCATCATGCACAAGCTGCTGCTGCGGAGGCAGGTTTACATGTTGAGCCAGCCCAGAACAACTTTAGGAAGGAGACGCAGGACTTTTCCTGGCTCTTTTGATAAGGGGAACAATATGTTTTAAAGACACCTTTGTGGAATCCTTCTCCCCTTAGAGTAGATGGAAAGACTCTTGCTTTAAAATAGCCACCAGTGGAGTAAATAAAAATGCTGAATTCTCTTTCTCGTGAATATATTGCTGATAAAAAGAACAAAATGTTCACAAACCCAACCCAGATAGGTCTGTAAAGCTTGAAAGAATTTACTAAATTGGCTGGGCATGGTGGCTCAATCCTATAATCCCAGTACTTTGGGAGGCTGAGGTGAGGGGATTCATTGAGGTCACGAGTTCCAGACTACTCTGGCCAACATGGTGAAACTCCATCTCTACTAAAAATACAAAAATTATCCAGGCATGGTGGTGCATACTTGTACGCCCAGCTACTCAGGAGGTTGAGGCAGGAGAATCGCTTGAACCCGCGAGGCAGAGGTTGGCGTGATCCAAGATTGCACCACTGCATTCCAGCCGATGCCATCTCAAAAAAAAAAAAAAAGAATTTACTGACTAGCAGGTGTTCCCCATATCACATTTTTCCACTGCCTGGCCATCCACGCTACCTCTGAGCCCACGGCAGTTGTAGACGGTTTCTTTTTCCCGAACGATCCTTTTTTATTCTATCTATGCACACTGCTTTCTCCTCCCCCAGCACACACACCACATAACACATGTGGCTTGTTAAGATGCAGAGAGCAGTTGTGCCCTCTTCACGTGAGAGCCAGGAAGAGCACCCATGCCTTCCTGGGCCGTCATCCCTTTCAGCCTGCTTGTAACAAAGCTGTTCCTACCTCTCATGGAGCGGGATTGGACGGTTGTGTACAGCACTGTCTGGAAATGCTGCTCAGAAGTCATGGTCCAGTGGAGACAATCTGTGTTGGATTTTTCTAGAATTACCATAGCTAAGTGTGGAAGAAAAACATGAACGTGCACCAGGTGCTGTGGCTCATGCCTGTAATCCCCGAACTTTGGGAGGCTGAGGTGTGTGGATCACGAGGTCAGGGGTTTGAGACCAGCCTAGCCAATATGGTGAAACCCCACCTTTACTAGAAATACAAAAAATTAGCCGGGCATGGTGGCGGGCACCTGTAATCCCAGCTACTCAGGAGGCTGAGGCAGGAGAATCACTTGAGCCTGGGAGGCGGAGACTGCAGTGAGCTGAGATCACACTACTGCACTCCAGCCTGGGCAACAGAGAGAGACTCTGTCTCAAAAAAAATTAAAAATAAAATAAATTAATAAAACATGGACACTGAATTGTCTTTATTCTTTCATCTGCACACTCCTGCTACCTCCTGGCCACCATCCCACCACTGGGCCCTCACAGAAACCTCATCTCCCTCCTCTTCTTAATAAATATTGGGAAATGGAATGGTCCCTGGATGGGCACAAAAGCTTAGAAGTCAAGAGATAAAACATTCTCCTCCTGCTTCTAGGAACGATAGGAAAACTCTTGAACCTCACTTGCCTCCAAATTCTCTCCATAGGAAGAATCCATTCCCCAGCAGCCTTGTGGAGGCCTGAAGAAGCCAACTGTCTCTGTGTGGAGTCAGGGCGAAGAGCTGAAGAAGGCCTTTCCCTGGCTGCAGGGCCATTATCAAGCAATTGAACACACATTTCCTATTTGTTGAGACATTTTGAGATATGCAATTGTATTTTCACATCATGTTTATAAAGCACAATATGTATCCATTCGCCTCTGTCAGCATGTAGTAAAATAACAGTTAACATTAATTTCATTGAAATTTCAGAAGCCTTTTGAGAATGCTATTAGACATTTAAAAGCAACTCCTCTTTTCTAGGTAAAAGCCTTTCATTTGAAGTGTCTGCTATTACACTATTGGATCCAGATTTCACTGCTATCAAAGATTTTTAATTTGGTTACATTTATAAACTGTACATATTATTGTTTTATATCTTATAATCATGTCTTATAATAAAAGTTATTATAAGACATAAATTATGTACCATATTATTATTTGGTACATAATAATATGTACCAAAATATAACTTCATGTAAAGCCATTTGCAGTTTTGGCAAACCTTGTAAGAATTACAAGCAAACTGTTGAGATGCAATACTTTGCATCTAGGTTAGGAGTTCCCACCAGTTACTGAGGTTCTTCTTCTAATACTGAAATTAGTGTGTGCACAGTCGCCTCCCAAATGGGCTTCTCTAACTTTCTCAGCGCTTATTCTGCTCTTGAAGTTAGCAGTTGTTTGACTGTCCAATAGTAAAAATGCATATTGATACTGAAGCTGGTTTGTGAATATCCTGTTCTCTTTTCTTCTAAAATTATAGGTTACAATGTTAGACTTTGTCACTTCTCTTCTTTTTTTTCTTATTTCTTCATTCATTCAACAATCACTAAGCACCTTCTTTGTGCCAAACACCAGTCCTGACTCCAGGGATGCTGCACTGAACCATCTAGATCTCAGCTGTGAATTGCTCTTAGGAACATTGTGCTTTGAGAATGAATTCATTACATTACTAGCAGAGTTCATCACCACATGCCTCATTACAGCAGAGCTTAATTATCATTCATGTAATATTGCTTTGTATATTTATTCATTACACACACAATTAGTAATATTATCTTTCTTAGATAAAATACTTTAACAAGTCCAATTACTAAGCTGTCGAAAGGACATATATAAATGTTTGTAAATAAATAGAGGTTGGGAAGATACAAGATGATTGTGACAAATATCTTGTATGAAAAGCATTACATTTATTTTAAGGAAACTGTAATTTCTTTGAACAGGAAAAATGTGTAGCAGCTGGAATAAGAGGTATGCATAGTATGAGAATAATACCTAACTTCATAGCAAGTCAGTTTTATTTCTTACGATTTGCTGTTCCACTGTGACTGTAGTTGGCTGACTAGTTGCACCTGCAACCTTATTCTGATTTGTTCTTACAGCCAGTCATTCTTCTTCTCCTTTGACAGCGTTGGTTCCTCTTCCTCACCACAGCATCTCATTTTGATATAGTTATCTGTTTGAGTTTTGCACCACTATTTTCTTAGCATTTTCTCTTATCATTTCTGAGATCTTACCTTGGCTGTTTTGCACATATCTTAAATGTGGTTAGGTAAATAAATGCAGATACCTGTCAGTTTCTGACCACCAGCTGGGCAATTGTCACCTACTGTACTGTTGTTTTTTTCTTTTTTTCTTTTTTTTTTTTTTTTGAGACAGGATCTCACTTTGTTGTTGGAATGCAGTGCTGTGGTCAGGCTCACTGCAGCCTTGACCTCCTGGTCTTAAGCCGTCCTTCTGCCTCAGCCTTCTGAGTAGCTGGGACTACAGGTGCCTGCCTGCCACACCCTGGCTAAATTTTGGGATTTTATTGTAGAGTCAAGATCTCATTATGTTTCCCAGGCTGGTCTCAAACTCCTGAGCTCAAGTGATCCTCCTGCTTCGGCCTTCCAAAGTGCTGGGATTACAGGAATGAGCCACCACACCCAGCCCATTGTAATTTTCATATACTCACCAATACTGGCTCTCATTGGTCATATGAAATTATGTAATCACATGAAAACAATGCCTAGTGCAGTCCAAGGGAAGCAGACGCTACTGTTTTACAGAAAGGGATATTAGTAAGTCCATTATGTCCAAGGAAGTAATGTATGCAGTATTAGATGTGTGTTCTCTGTTACAGGTACCATTTCTGGATTTGATACATATATTAGTTATGCAAAATAGCCTTTACTCCAGATACATAGGAAAGAAGAGAAGACAACATGGTGAGGTAGAAAAGAATGAGCTTTGAAAACAGACAGGCGTGGATTTACACTTCTGCCTTACTTCTTCCTACTGTTAAGATTGGACCCACTGAGCTCCATTTTTTTTTTTTTACCTGTAAAATGAGGATAATGAAATAAAAGTCATAGAATACTACATACTAGTTTCTCACTTTTTTCTTCCTTTAAACCAAAAAAGAAACCACATACGTTCAAAACATGCACCACTCAACACTCTAAGATGGAAATAGCTTAAAGTACCAAGTTTAAGATTGAGGTATTGGGGGATGGAGATTATTAAATTTCCTTGTTCAGATGAAACATAATTAACATAATCAGTTTGGAACTTTTTTCATGCCTAATTCACTTTCTAGTCCTAAAATAATGTTGTGCGAATTATTGGCACGTTGTTTCATTTTCATGCTTAATTTAAAAAAAAAAATATTCTCCTTATACTTAAATGCCTATTTAGTTCCATTTGGGCCATTTTCTTTGAACTAAATGCAAATGAGGGAGGTTGCATCTATTTCATAATCTCCCTTTAATCAAGATCACTACGAAGCATCAGCCCCCTGGGTGACGGGTGACATAAATCATATTAGCTTAATTCTGTGTGTTTCATTAAAGGATTTGGTATTTTTATGAACCAGAATATCTAGGTCACTGCCATAGAAGCTTCAATCAAGCTGCAGATCTTATGGAGTCAATGATGTGTTGCTTATTTGATGAGATGAAGATGAAGTGCCTACTCCCACCTCATACTGGCCTCATTAATACATGGTTGCTTTAAGAGTTCATGAGTTTGGAAGAGACAGTTGGGTCCTGGCCCCAGGAAACACAGGAGAAATCCAGATCTCATACAGTGTGCTGGACATATAACAATTTTTGCATTCTTTCCCCCCTCACCATTGAAATCTATGATTTCTCTATTCGACTGTTTTCTCAGCAATCCAAAAAGTCAAGGTTGGCAGCATGCAATCTGCTGAAGAATCCTGCCTAAATATCCTTTTCCACTTAACACTGTCTACCATGGAGTCATTTTGTTTCTTTTTCATTCCTAGAAGATGAAGAAATGATGACATCCCAAACCTCATAATTTGTCTATACTTCCACTCAGGCACTTCTGCACAGTATCTAAATATTTATGTTTCTTTGTCAAATGACAGTACCAAGAATGTTTCTGTAATATTTATGAGAACACAGGAGTTGCTAAGAGAAGAGTCTTTGCAAGAAGGGACGTGAGAAAAGCTGGGAAGAAAGATTGAACCCACAGTTTACAAAGGTTTCAAACATCTAGGAGATTATCCTCATACGGTAACAGCATTTGACTGGGTTGTATGCAGTTAAAATTACTACCCAGCATCACATAAATGCAGTGTTAGAAGGATTTCATAAATTAGGAAATCTGGAAGCATCTGGGAGAGTGGATGGTTCACTATGGGTGGCAAGGATGGCAGATATAAGGTTTTCGTTGGAAAATATGCCAATTACACATGCCATTTCCTTTCCTGAAAATCTCTAGGGTCACTGCTGGACATAGAACTTTGGAATGGGAAGAAACTTCCAGAGTTCTGTCTTCTTCCAGATGATCAGAATACAGGTACACACGGTGCAGTTTCTCAGGGTTTTTGGTGATGCCAGACCCATTTCCCCATAGAACTGATGTTTGTGGGTTTTTTTGAATAAACACAGAAATTGACCCCCTTGGACTTAAATGGAGTCTCACTCTGTCACTCAGGCTGGAGTGCAGGGGTACCATCTCGGCTCACTGCAACCTCCACCTCTCAGGTTCAAGTGATCCCCCTGCCTCAGCCTCCCAAGTAGCTCGGGTTACAAGTGTGTGCCACCACACCAGACTAATTGTTTTTTTAGTAGAGACAAGTTTCACTATGTTGTCCAGGCTGGTCTCGAACTCCTGACCTCAGGTCATCTGCCCACCTCAGCCTCCCAAAGTGCTGGGATTACAGGAGGGAGCCACCATGCCTAGCCCTTATGTGGGTTCCTTCAGGCCTCCCAGTTAGTGTCAAGGAACTGAAAGTTACCAAATAACTACATCCAGACAGTGAGTGGCCAGATCCCTCAACCGCCATGACTGCCTAACCGACCACCTGCTTCCTGCTGGCCAGCTCCTCTTCCTTATCCTCCCTCATTCCGGGTTTTCCCGAGCATAGCTACATTCTTTCCTTGCTAGATCAACCCTGGCTTTGGTGGGTTGGGAAGATGGATTTGACACTTATCTCCTGTCGCCTTAGTGATGTCACCCAAATAAAGCCTTTCTTTCCTGGCAATATTCATCTCATTGATTGCCTTTCTGTGCAGCGAGAAACAGGCCCAAGACTGAACCCCTGGTGTTCGGCGTCATTGGCAGTCAGTGTTTACTTCTCCCCAAAAGGTGCAATGCCTCCCTTATGAAGAAGCCAAAGAAACAGTCATCTACAAGTCACTTGGAAGTGTCCACCATCACCTGGGTTAGGATTTGAATTCTTCTAATAGGGTTTACAAACAGCAGATTTATCCAGGGGATTTGGCTTCTTAATTTGGATCATGAACCCCTTCGAGAATCTTATAAAAACTTTTAGATCCTCTCCCAGAAATTGCACATACAAGCAAATATTGTTGTTTGCAATAAGCCTCTTACTCCAGGTTAAGACCTTATGGCCTACATATTGAAAAGCTTTATGTTTTAATGGAAGCTTTGACACTAGCAGTGGTAAATAGAGGATTGTTGCCTAAAGAAAGCCCCTTCTTTGAAGTTAAATGCTGTTATTGTCCTGGTTACTGAAGCAGCAGCATTAGAGATACATTGGAAAGCTCAGGTCCTTCATGAGTCTAGAGTCACTTCCAGAAACAAACAATGCCACGGGTCTTCTGGGCCCCGTGGTTCTCACCCCTGGGCTATGCATAAGAACAGAAAATCAAACACCTCATGTTCTCACTCATAGGTGGGTGTTGAACAATGAGAACACATGGACACAGGGAGGGGAGCATCACACACTGGGGTCTGTTGTGGGGAATTAGGGGAGGGACAGTGGGGGATGGGGAGTTGAGGAGGGATAACATGGGGAGAAATGCCAGATACAGGTGATGGGGAGGAAGGCAGCAAACCACATTGCCACATGTGTACCTATGCAACAATCCTGCATGTTCTTCACATGTACCCCCAAACCTAAAATGCAATAAAACATATATTTTTTAAAAAACAAGAATTCTAGAGAAGCTTTTCTGAATTATACCCAAGAAGACATACACACTTCACAATGTTAAAACTTACAACAAACTACAGTAATCGGTATTGTTTTGGCATAAGGACACACATGTAGACAATATGGAAAGTCCAGAAATAATCCCTTATATTTATGGTCAATTTATTTTGGATGAAGATGCAAGAATCGATTTTTGAACAAGTAGTGCTGGGACAGTTGGGTATTCACTTAGAAGATAAATAGATAATGTCTGCCTTCTGGGGAGAGTCTCAGCCATGTGCACTTTCACTTTTGCTTCTGTGTTAATCAAGGTCCATGGGGATTCTTATATTCCAGCTCCGGCTGAGATCCATGCTACAAAGTCAGTTTATGATAGTTGCTGTTTTCATTTGCATCTTTTTTCTAGCTCTCATTTTTCTGACACGGTTTGGCAACAGGATGTTTCTGTTCATTGAACGCTCTAGACAGTAGCCAGCTGCCACTGATGGTGCCAGTGCAGAATGAGAGCATTAAAATGGGATCCGAGGCAGTGGGGAGAGAGAGAGAGGAACACATGGCTTCAGAATCCAACCGAGCCCTCATCGGTTCGTGGCCCTACCACTTACCGTGTGTCACCTGGAGGAAATGATTTAAACTCTTCAAACTGCAACTTATTTATCGGCAAAACAGGAAGCAAAGTATCTTTGCTAGTGTTTTGCAAGGTGTCAATGAGATCAGTGTTTTCTTTGTTTATTTGTTGTTGTGGTGTTCAAGATAGGGTCTCGCTCTGTCACCCACGCTGGAGTAAAGTGGTGCAATCTTGGCTCACTGAAACCTCCACATCCCAGGTTCAAGTGATCCTCCTGCCTCAGCCTCCTGAGTAGCTAAAAGTACAGGTGTGTGGCACCATGCCTGACTAATTTTTTGTATTTTTGGTAATGACAGGGTTTCACCATGTTGGGCAGGCTGGTCTTGAACTCCTGTCCTCAGAGGATCCACCTGCTTCAGTCTGCCAAAGTGCTGGGATTAAAGGAGTGAGCAACCGCGCCCCGCCGAGATAAATGTTTAACAGTTCCTTGCATATCGCTGCGTACAGTTAGTGCTCAATGAAGGTCAGCTGCTATAACTGTTGTTGCTTTTGTTATTCTCATTATTACTACTAAACCAAGGAATTGAGGTGAGAGATCTTATGAGATGTGGATTCAGTACAAGGCAAATTAATTAATTTGCCATAATTAAAATAGGTCTCCTGATGCTTTAACCAACCACTTTCTTTTAAGCTGTTTTTGTTATCCTTTTCTTCAGGTCTCCTCTAACACCTTCCATTTGCACGCTCCTCCTGAGAATCTATCGCCTGGTGATCTGAGGTGCATCAGTTTCATCCGGAAACCATTCCCCCACCCCGATCCGTGGAAATATTATCTTTCATGAAACTGCCTCTGGTGCCAAAAAGGTTGGAGACCTCTGTCTTAAAAGATATAAGCTGTCAGACCTGGGCCTGGCATGCAGTGAACTGTGGCTATTGTTTTTATTCTTTTTGTCTGTTGGAGATTTGGAAACAATTGATTTTTTTTGTCGTTAATTTTCACTTTCAGGCTGTCATAAAATTTATTTTATTCGATTACAAAACGGTAGAGCTCTAGAACAACTCGTCTTGTCTAATCCGCAGCCTGCAGGACGTGTGCCGTGCATCTACAGCTACAGGTGAGAAAGACGAAGCTTGGATTAACTCAGTACTGTGGTCAGGGCAAAACGCGACTCAACAGAGCGGAGTTTTAGACATAGGTTTGTTTGTCTCCTGATAAAATTACTTACTTTCTTCTCACCACTCTGTAGCAGGACAGCTTTGAATGCAGCTCAATTCAAATTCCTAAACGTTCTTAAAACGTTCTGAGATTTTTTTGGTGGTTTTGGTTTTTAGTTCATCAGCCATCGTTAGCGTCAGTGTATTTTATGTGTGACCCAAGACGATTCTTCTTCTTCCACTGTGGCCCAGGGAGGCCAAAAGTATGGACGCCCCTGCTGTAGAACATTAAGCTCTAGGAACCTGAGCAAGACTTTAGTTCAACTCTTCACTTTGTAGTGGAAAAATCAAAGCCCAGGATGGTGAGAAGGTGCCAGGGTCTGCACTGCAGAGTCAGAAAGATAAATGTAACATTGTGCACAGGCTCCCTCAAGAGAACCTCTCATGCCTCCAGCAGCCCACACACGCAGGTCCTGTCTGATTTTTCCTTTTTGGGGGGGACTGAGTATTAATATACATATCTTTTAAAATGTTAAGCTGAAAGCAAGGACAGCAACCATTTTTGCTTTGTCTTTACTTCTATTTAATGTCTCCAAATCTCTAATAGTTTATTTTTTTATGTTTTCATCTTGCTTTGTTATAAAGATTTTTTTTAAAGGAGATGATTCGAATAATGTATGTAATTGTTCACTGTTTTACCCTTTTTTCTTTTAGAACCTGTCAAAGCCAAAATATCATTTGGAGCTATGCCAGATGTTTTCCCACCAGCTCAGAAAGGTAAATGTATTTTTGTTCAACTGGATTAACTGGAAAGAAATAATTAAAACACATATGTAATATATAGTATTTAATTATATATAGTCACCTTATATAATACGTAATAACATTTTAATAATATATTATTTAGCCTTAAAATGTTATTAAGTCTTTACCCAACCTTGATAATAATGGTTTGTATGATTCATTGCTGGTCAAACTTACTAGCCAAGTCATTTACAATCCAATGTTTATACTTTATAGACCAGTTCAATTCTTAGCAAATGCTCCAATCAGTGGTTGACATTTTTGAGTTGGAAAACCCATGTTTAAATTTTAACTCTATTAGCTCTCTGACTTTTAGGGAAAGTCATCAGAATCTGAGTTTCATCTTCCTCAAATATGAAATAACAGCAATAATAACACTAATAATCGCACCTATCTCTAGAGTTTCAATATTATAACCATGCCTTTGTGTACATACAGACAGATTGTTCCCTGTGATATCTCCATCCAGCCTCCTAGCCTCAACCTCCAAAATAAATACCAGTGAACTCAAACAATAACAAAAAGACCCCTAGGGTCTACACAAGTCATATCCAGGTTTGAATGAAAACATTCTTGCCACTTTTTTCATACAATAGCTTATATTTCTCTTTTGAAGAAACACATGAACTTTTGAAGGGAAAGGTGACAAGGTATCAGCAGCCTTTCTGAGACATAATGGGCTGTAATTGTTGGTGATGCAGAACCTCTTGTGAGGGTTCTGCCCTCACAAGAGACAGCTATTCTGCCCTAGGCCCCTCGTGGCAGAAAACCTTCATATTGACTCAACCACAAATGATAAAGAATGAGACACAGGGAGAACAGGCTGACCCAAAAAAATAATCAACCTAGAAATCCAGAAACGGAAAGGCCCAGGAGAGGGATTAAGGCTGCAGCCAAATCTCTTCTTAATTTTGTTAATCAGACATTTGTCAGCACAGGGCACTTTGCAAGTGTTGAAAAATCAAAGCTTGTGAATAGCGCCTGGCCCCCATCTTATTACTTTCTTTATCACTGGGGAACATTTCTCAAGTTGACTTCCTAAAAGGCATTTAGGCTTCTGTTTCATGTATGAAGATAATTATTTCTGTCACAATGAATAATTTAAGCCGTCATTCCCAACTCCACCCTCAGACCACTCATAGCTTTCAATAAAAGGAGATACACTGCTCTGTAATCGAACAGCTTCCCTGTTTTATGGACCTGGGAGGAAATGTAATGAAAGCAAAATGTTTCCCAAAACTTGCATGCCAAAATTATTGGTTGGTTATCACTGATTTTTCCCAGTACAGAGTCACAGAATATTAGCACTGAATGAGTCCTTAGACAACTACAGGTGAGAAAGATGAAGCGTGGATTAGCTCAGTACTGTGGTCAGGGCATAAAACTACTAAGCAGAGTGGAGTTTTAGACATAGGTTTATTTGTCCCCTGATAAAATTACTTACTTTCTTTACACCACTCTAATACTGTGACAGTGTTGTGTTATAAAAGTTAATGAGATGAGGCACAGTGGCTCACGCTTGGAATCCCAGCACTTTGGGAGGCTGAGGTAGGTGAATCACATGAGTCCAGCAGTTCGAGGCTGCAGTGAGCTGTGATCGCACCACAGCGCTTCAGCCTGTGATCAGATCGAGACTCTGACTCTAATTAATTGATTAATTTAAAAAAGTCAGTTAAACAAGAAACTTGGCCTGGCTGTCTCACATACT